CAATAATACTTATAGAAATTTATTTCATCTTAAGTATACAGTGTAACCCGGATATAAGAGAGTTGTCGGGACCGGAGAAGAAGTCTCTTATATCCGGGTTTCTTTTATATCCGGGTTTGGTCTATTTTATATACATTAACACAGGCTCTAATTAGGGACCAGAGAAAATCTCTCTTATATCCGGGTTTCTCTTATATCCGGGTCACACTGTATTTGTTTCAGATGGATTAGTCCTTATTAGTATCAATGTTAGATTGATTTTTAGGCGACAAAGTGTCGTCAATGATAATTATGAGAATGTTTTCATCTTAAATGTAGCTGTTAGAGCTTCATTAGTTTTTATTTTTACCAAAATTTGAATTTTAACTGGAATTTTTGTCGGAGCATCGTCAACTATTTTTGAGTAGTATTTTTCTCATCTTAAATCATATTGCGTTATTTACTCTCGCAATATTAGTAGTAAATTTAAGTTGAATTGTTTGAAGATGAAGAACCACATTTCTGTGGCTTCAAGTCTCCTCTTCATCCTTGATGAGATCAAGGCAATTAACTAAGAATAAGAGTAAGAAAGATCAGAGTCATGACTGTTTGGTAAGATATAGGCTGCGCTAATGGCTGTTTCGCCCTACACAACAGATTTCTACAAAATCAAAACATTAATCTCAATACTCGAGTCCTGTTCTTAAAATGTCTCGTCAATTCGAGGTTTTCATACGGATCTCATGCATGGCGCCAACCCATCAAGAAATATCTAAACGGTCTTCTGTATACGAAGAAAAAGCGACTTATCTCGTCAGACAATACGACTGGGTGTCGCATGTATCCTAGGTCGGAAAAGAAAGAAAGCGAACACGTGAATCTTGTTTACGCAACCGTCAGCCAACGAAAAGAAATTATTCCCTCACCAAAAACGGTTGGCGTTCTAAAGAAGAAAAAAAGCGAGCGTATGCTTCCTGAGCAACTTTATTTTGGGGTGTATGTTATTTTTTGGCATATGATTGTTGGACGTGCGATGAATTTCTAGCCGTTTACGTGTCTTGGTATTTGGACATACGATTCGTGATTTCGACATTTCTTTCTCCTCCTCCCCTCACTGAATATTCAAGTTTTTTTTTTTTCGTTTCGTTTTGAACTTGAGCTACCACATAAATTTTCTTACAAAGATCGATGGTTAAAGACGGCTTTGAGTGTGCAAAGTCTATGGAAATTGGTAACGATCACACTTCTTCGAATATTGTGGACTACTGCTACCGAATCTCAAAAAAAAAAACAACTGTAACCTACAAAAACCAAATCACTTGAAGACATTCAACAGCAGCAAGATTTAAATCGATATAAAATGTTATTCGAAGAGAAAACAATGGTTAATCAAGATGTTGATTTTCCACACAACTTCAAATAAAATGTTAATATGGTACCCCTTCTCACATCAATATTGGAATAGAGATAACAGCTATTGGATTTAATAAACCTACTTCTCTGAAAAAATTGTTTTAAACGAAAGATGGCTATAAATTTCAACCGACAATAATACTCAACCAATAATTGTTGATGGTTTCCTTATAACGAAAAGCTAATATTACTACAGCCATTAGCACAGTCGAAATTAAATAAAACGAAAAAAAATAACAAGGATTATTTTCCATAAACTATTATGTTTGTCATACATTAAATTACGGTCGTCTAACGAAATAACCTCTTTAGTATATAAAAACACTTGACTCATTCCTGACTTTTTTTCTTTCCAGTTATTTTTCCTTTAATATATTGTTACACATAAGCCCAGTGAAAATGATTACAATGAAACAATGTCGAGTAATCTTCCTGTATGAGTACAAATTGGGGAAAAGTACAATTTTGCAACGAATCATTACATGAGATAGGAAATGGATACTCTTTAACAACAGCAAGAGAGTAAACCAGTGGTTAGATGCAAGTGAATCACCCAAAACAATACCCAAAACCTCTGCTACAACCTAAAAGGTAATTGGTAACTGTATGGTGGTCTTTCAACGGGGCTATTCATTATTCATACTTTCACCCAGGGAAACAAGAACAGCAACCTCAAAAAAAAAAAAAATTATGTGAAATACACTAAAAAATGAAAAAGAAACATCCTAGACTTATGAATAGGAAAGGCCCAATTTTGCTGCACTGCAACGTACGGCCTCACGCATCTCAATCAAGTGAATCAAAGCCTGAATTATAAAATTTTGCCTCATCCTCCATATTCACCTGATATCTCTCCTACTGATTATCATTTATTTAAACATTTTGAGCTTTTTATACGCAATAAAACAGTCTCCAATAAGGAAGCGGTAACCGAATCATTTGAATTGATTGTCACATCAAAAAACGAGGATTTTTTTAAAGATGGTATCAGCAATTTAGAAATACGTTGGAGAACAGTTATTTATCAACATGGCGCCTATTTCAATTGAATAAATTAGCTATTTAACATTTCAGAAACATTTTATTCCTTTCCTATAAAGTGTGTCATTTCTTGTGTGACAACCTAATATATGAATTTATGCATGACTACACAACCAGACGAATATATTATATAAAAAAATAATAAGGATTATTTCCATAAAATTTAAAGGCCGTTGAAAAATAAATCTAGGATCGTGTTTCTAATATTTGGTTCATTCGAATATGAAAATATAGCAGAGAAGAGGGTGGGGGTTAAACTGTTGGAAAAAGTGCTTCGCTGCCGAGAAAACAGAAAGAAATAGATCAACATCAGAGAAGAAAAGATATAAACTGTCTTCATCTATATTATTTACATATTGACAGATCGACTGCCCCCCCCACCAAACCTTCCGTGCGGCATGTTGGATCAGTTGACTGCAGTTGACTGGAGTAATAACAGTCATCTCTCTTCAGGAATACTTATACAAATAATGATTCGGCTGACGTCGATTTTTCGAAAAATAGAGATAAGATACAAGGCCTCTTGTATGGTGCGATACGGGAAGCGACTTCACTTTGTTGCCCAGCAACTGAACACACATCTCCGTTGAAATAAGCTGACAGGTTTAACTGAAATCATTGTTTTGGATTTAAGCAATAGAATTTGTAAGATTTGCAAGATATAGACGAATACAGCTAATGATTTTTCCTTATAAGCTGTAGAGTTACATTAACTTAATTTATTCCTAGATTGATTCGTTTTCTATGGTTTATCAACCCATTTAAGGTTATTTAAAGCCAGAAAGTTATTTTAGATTATAAGAATCCTTTTATTTAGATACAAATAATTTAGAGAAACAATACTTACTAATTAACCCTTACTTGGGGAGAATATGTGTATTCATAACTATTCCAAGGAAAAATCGATTCAGTTAATATAAAGAACCTTACAAGGATTGAAACAGGGCTCTCTGATTAACAACAGCGAACCATTACCTATTTCATCACAAGATATACTTAAAAGGACACCCATACAGTTATTGATCAGGCTGGATGTTGCTTAATTTCGATGATCGTGCAGGAATCGGTGTTTCAACGTGAAATACACGTAAGCCGTAGCACCTGCAAATCCATGCTTACTGCACTTGTTATTCCAAAGCGGTCATCCATCTAAGTACTGACCAGGATCGATGTTGCTTGATTTCAATGATTGTGCGGGAATCGGTGTGTCAACCTGAAATACTCGTAAGCCGGAAGACATGCAAATCCATGTTTAGAACACTTAGTATTCCCAATCGGTCACCCCTCTCGGTACTGACCAGGCACGAAGTTGCTTAATTTTGATGATCTTATGAGAATCGGTGATCAATGTGAAATACACTGCAAATCCGCTTACTTAGTATTCCCCAAGCAAATCCATGACCAGGCACGAAGTTTATTTTGATGATCTTTGAGAATCGGTATTCCACGTAAGCCGGTCACCCCTCTCGGTACTGACCAGGCACGAAGTTGCTTAATTTTGATGATCTTGTGAGAATCGGTGTTTCAATGTGAAATACACGTAAGCCGTACCACCAGCAAATCCATGCTTACAGCACTTGGTATTCCCAAGCGGTCACCCATCGCGGTATTGACGATCTTCGAAGTTGCTTTATATCGTTGATCGTACGGGAATCAGTGTTTCAACGTGAAATACTCGTTAGACGTACCAAATGCAAACACATGCTTACGCGCACTTGGTATTCTCATGCGGCCACCAATCTCGGTACTGACCAGGTACGGTGATGCTAAATTTCGGAGATCTTACGGGAATCGGTGTTCCAACGTGAAAAACACGTAAACCTGCTAACATGCTTACAGAACTTGGTATGCGCAAGCGGTCACACATCTCTGTAAAAACCAAGTTCGATGGCGCTTAATTTCGATAATCGTACGGTAATCGGTATTTCAACGGGAAATGCTCATAAGCTGTAACTCCTACAAATCCTTGCTTACAACAGTTTTTATTCCCAAGCATTTACGCATCTCGGTGCTGAGCAGGCACAATGTTGCATAATATCAGTGATCATACGGGAATCGATGTTTCAAATTTAAATACTCTTAGGCCCTACCATATGCAAATCCATGCTTACAGCACTTGATATGCACAAGCGGTCACCCATCACGGTAGAAACCAGGCTCGATGTTGCTTGATTTCGATGATTGTGCGGGAATCGATATTTCTACGTGAAATACTCGTAAGACGTACCACCTGCAAATCCACGCTTACGGCAGTTTTTTTTTTTTTCCCCAAGCGGTCACCCATCTCGGTACTGACCAGGCTCGATGTTGCTTAATTTCGATAGACCGTACGGCATCGGAGTTTCAACGCGAAATACTCGTAAGCCGTATCACCTGCAAATCCATGCTTACAGCACTTGGTATTCCCAATCCGCCACCTATCTCGTTACGTACCAGGCTCGATGTTGCTTAATTTTGATGATCTTATGGGAATCGATGTTTCAACGTGAAATACTAGTAAGACGTACCACCTGCAAATCAATGATTACGGCCATTTGTATTCCCAGGGGTCACCTGTACATCCATGTTTGCAGCACTTGGTATTCCCAAGCCCTCACCCATCTAGGAACTGACCAGGATCGATGTTGCTTAATTTCGATGATCGTACGGAAATCGGCGTTTCAATGTGAAATACTCGGCATATCCCAGTGGATAAAGGCGTTAGTTATATCCAATGACAATACTCCGAATAATGTAAATCGTGTATATAATACCTCATCTCAGATATATAGATATATTTGTCTAATATATCCATTTTTCGCTTTGTATTTGACCAATATTGAGGTCTCAAGAATTTTATTAACCTGTTGATCCGATATTAAAGCAATGCAAGAGAATCAGTCTTGAGTTTTATCCAGTTAATCATGTGATGATAGGTTTTTGATTGTCACTTTAGTTTGGGGGGTCACCAATTTTCTCATGTTGACGACAAAAGTCATATCCACACTCCCATCTCCATCTTCACTGTTCCTCATCATCAGTGTAATTTAACAAATCATCGTCAACAGCAGAAGCAGAATCTACTTCATCCACGTCAGGTGAATCATTTCATTCTTCCACCTGCTGAATCTCCCCTCTAATTTTCCTTATCATTGGGGCAGCTGTAACAATCACGTCCTCATCTGTATACATAAGAATTTTGATCTTTGTGGGCGATGTATGCATTTCTCAGGACTGTTTTCATTTATTGTTTTCCAGGATAATCACAAATTGTACATGAAATCCATTTAATTCCAATATTATTTAAGATATAGATCATATTAAAATATTACAATAGTGATATCTTCTTTTGTCACGAACGTGGCCATCCTAAACAATAAACATTATCTAATATATATCTATTTCTCGTTTTGTATTTGAGCACTACTAATAGTGTCTCAAGAAGGCTATTAAGCTGTTGATCCGATAGAGAAGCAATGCAAGGAGGATCAGTTTTGAGTTCATTCATCCAGTTCATCATGTAATGATAGGCTTTTAATTGCCACTTTAGTTTCGATGTCACCAATTTTCTCATGTTGACTACAGGAGGCACATCCACATTCCCATCTCCATATTGACTGTCTTCCTCATCATCAGTGTAGTTTAACAAGTCCTCGTCAACAGTAGTAGCGGAATCTTCTTCCTCCTCATCAGATCTAACAATGGATTCTGATTCTCCTCTCAAATGTTTCGTATCATTGAGACAGCTGTTTCTCTAACAGCCACGCCCTCATCTGCATACATAAAAAAGAATTTGATCTGTGTAGGCGAAGTATGCGATACTCTGGACAGCCTTCTTCACTATAGTCTTCTTCTTACTATTCGAGTTTTTCACATGATGCAAGGATTGGAATACATTGTTTGAGCCGTGTGTTACGTAAGGGCGCATCTTGATGTAGAACCACATTGGAGCACTGAACTTTATAATTGTAATGACGATTATTTTCAGCTCGTGGACGGGTCTTGATGCTGTTACATACAGCCTAAGGATTTTGTTACGGTTTTTTGTGTATTTAATGTATACAATTAGTGAGCGAGTCAAAATGACAATTCCCTTTATAGTCTACCAATAGGAGATTAACCAATCAGAAGCCGCAGAACACTGTATCCGTCGTGTATAAAGGCGGCCATCTTTGTTTACCCTACCGGAATGACCAGAGCCAACATGTCAGGCGAAGATACCAGAAGGAAGAACTATGCTCTGCTACAATATCCACTGCGAACTTGAACTATGCTTTCCTACTGTCTCCGAAATATTCACTGCCAACCTCTGGATTCTATACTCGAAGACGACCGTCATGAAAATGTCTAACAGATTTTACTCCATAAAGTATTCCACCTTGACAGGCAGGGAGTGTCTGACTCAATAACAGCCAAGTCATCCTCAAGAACAACTGTAATAACTCCTTTACAAATCATATACACGTATTTCTGATCCCAGGACAGATCTTTCCCTACTTCTTCGTTCACGGCAGGGAAATCAGTGAAAATGACTGACTGAAAGACAACAACTGTCAGTTCAGACAAAGGTTCCTTGATTTGCTTTCAAATGAGACCAATTCAATGTTCAGAATTAGTTGATTTACCATCAGAGTGATAGAAAACGGCGCGGAATGGCAGCTCATTTCTGTGAAGCTGGCAGATGAAATAATGAAGCAGGGGACCACGAAACATTTAAATATGGTGAATGCAATCATTTTCTGATCCTACATTTACACTGCGTGCCAAATTAGTATCGAGATAACTTTTTTTTATATTTCAAAAACCGTCCAATCAGTTCACACAAAGTTTTCACACAATGTTGGCAACACTGACCTGCCAACAGATTTACCTTTTGAGAGTTCTGAGGTGATAGTTTTCTTTTTAGCATTACTTAAACTGCTTTTATGGCCCATCTTTTAACGAAATTCTTACACTTTTCTAATAATTTGGCACGCTCAAATCACCGTACTGATAACAAATATGGCACCAGTTTGTTTACATTGCGCAGATCAGGTCGAAAATTTCAGTGAATGCACAGAAAGGTGTTGCGAACATTGTGTGAAAATTTTGTATGAATTGATTGGGCGGTTTTTGAAATATTATAAAAAATTTATCTCCATAATAATTTGGCACGCAGTGTAGATTGGTTCCATAATTCCCATCATATACAATGGGCTGATGGATTCGATTTTTCTCCACGAGAAACTCGTGAATAGTTTTGGCAATCTGCTTTTCGTGTCCAGTTTTGGGAGTTACATGTGTGAGATATTCATTGACAGGCACAATTATGATGACATAATAACCATGCATTCGCATGTCCTCAAACTCCATATTTTGGTCTGCACATCTCATCATACGAATGGCGGTATTCTTACCAGCAAAATTTTTCATATTTTCAAAACCAGCCATCTGAATTTCTTGCTTATTCACTCGATATTTATTTTTTTATCTCACATCTTGTAGCTTATGTGGTCCAATAACTTAACTCTTGTCATCCTTTGTGATAATTCCATAATCATTTAATGCAGCCGTAGCAATGGCAGCTCCACCATAATCACTAATCAAGTATCGGTACAAACGGCAGCCAATGGTGGAATCTTGTCTTATTCTACGAGCTGGTGTCTGCCAGAGCTTTGGATCGGGAACAAAATCAGCAGCAGCATTGACAAGAGGGATATCTTTTGAATCATCCGAATTATCGTCAGCGTAAGGAATATATCTAACTACCAGATCTCTATGCCTTTCATCAAAGTTTCTGCTAACTCTGTCCGCATCATGCTTCTCTCTTAGTGTTACTGTCCCACATAATTGTCACTTTCATGTCAATACATGCAATTATCATTTTCCTATCATCTCGCTCGTCAAGGATGAACTTCTCACGTTTGGAGAATTTTATATCACAATTACAGGCCAGGTGATATCCGTCACACTTCTTAACTTTCCACTTCACATCCTGACAGGAGACAGGGCGACGGTAACAACTACAGATGTTAAATACCTACTTCATTCCTTCCTGATATGCAGCTTTTTATCCACATTCTTTTTGTATTAACTTCAGTTCCTCTACTGTACAATTTTCTCAAACATTTCTCAATGGTTTTCTGACTAAGATGAGAAAGAGTCTATCTCCAATTGCTTTTTCTCATATTTCAGAACAATCCTGAATGGCCATCTTGTTAATCATTGAGACATCTGCAAACTTTCCTTCATCACACTTATATAGCCAGCATTTCTTTAATATCTTGCCTTTCAATTTCTCTGCTGTACAATTTTCTCAAGCCTTCTTTACAGGAAGAACACTTGCAGAACCAAACAATGAACGATCTGTGGCTGCCCACATTAAGCCCGCTCAATAGCAAATTGATCAGCCTATCCGATAAGAAAAAAGAAAAAGTTAGTTAATGAACAGAATTGTACATTTATACAATGTACATTGCACTTCACAACACAACACAATTATTCCTTTTAAATTTCAGTTGCAATTGCTGCAGACTAAACCTCGATCTATTACCTTCGAATTTGGCATGGAGTCCTATATATGTATGAGAAAGAATACATGACTAGAGCAGCTTTGAGGAAAATGATCCCAAAATAATTTAGATTAAATGTACAGTACAATTTTCCATTGAAATAAATGAAGGTCTTATTTGTTGGCAAGTGCTTCTTGCTCATATACACTTTATGATGCTTCAGTAGTTAATTTAACTACTCTTTATACACCTTGAGAATATGCATGTAAATTCTGTAAATCCAATGCGGTTCCATTCATTAGAACCAATTGCAATTTATTATTTGAAAAACCTTCTACAAGCACAGATTCACAAACTCCATTTTGTGAAAGGTTAAGCAAATGTGACCAGTGTTCCGCTTCAGAACTCATAAATGTATTTTTAGAAATCTCTACTTTTGCGACACGCCGAAAATATTTTATTGGTAAATTTACCCATATTTGGTTATGTTTTTGTAATGTATCTTGAATGAAATTTTAAAATTAGTCTTGTAAATTAACCTCATTAATTATGAGGAAAGATTTACTTATCTAATGGACAGATTTTTTTATAGTGTCCTTCCTCACATCAAATTCATCTGACTTCAACATTGAGAAAAGAATACATTCTGGAAGCAAGGCGAAAGCATTACTCTGTAGAACTTTTACTGCAACATTCTATATTTCGATCGACTCTTGTTTACTCTTTAAATCCTGTTTAAGAAACAACAGTTGTTTGTTATGGAATTTATTATCCATTTTAATTTAAAACCAACTAACTTTATATATTTCTATTATAAATTTTATAAGGCTGTACTATAAAGTTTCACTGATCATCGGAATTAAATTCCAATGCTTCAATTTTGAACCTACATTTAATCTTTAACCTCTTTTCTTCAAAAAGCGATAACGATTTGGAAAAATATTGTAAGTCATTATTTATCATGTCTAACCCGAACTTTCAAATTGATTGCAATACCACGGGTTCAAAATCGTCCTTCCCTAATAGAAAATATATGTAGGAAAACCCGTAAAACAGTCATGATTTTACAAGACTATCCGGGTAATCCTCGCTTCGCGAAAGATTGTTCCTTTTTCTTCTTGCTTTCACGAGATTCAAATAATAATTTGAGTGAAATCGCATATAACCGTAATGAACCATAAATTGAATTAATGTATTGACTTGAAGGCACGCCATATTAGGCTGGAATAAGAGTCATGCATTAATAACACTGCCCCACTCAAAAAGAAACCGGTGTCTCCATGAAGAAATAGTCCTAAAGAAAACATGATTTTGTAGTCAATAATGTCCTGAATTCTAACGCTATTGAACTGGATTCTAATCGTTTTCAATGATCCTTCAGTGATGATTCTATTGGTCGGCATGAATCAATGTTCAATTCCAATTGATTTTTTCTGTTTTTGAGCCCTCAATAGCGTTCTTTATTCCCAATCCGAAATTTCTATCGTTTATAAATTTTTCTCTCTTCTTTTCTTTTCATTCCTTTCTTACATTTATATGTTTTCTTTTCTTTCATTTTGAATTTTTTTTTCTTCCTTCCACTCATTTTTTTTCCTTGGGGTTATTCTTCATTCGGTATGTGTTTTTTTTTTTCACTGTCATTCATTTTCTTTCTTCCTTTCCGTCGCAGATTAACCATCCATTTTTGCTATTCCTTTCTAGTCACTTTCTTCTCGTTCATTTTTTTTTTGTTTGTTTCCACTAAAACTTAACTTTTTCCCTTGCTTACGTAATTTATTCTTTTATTCGTCCCAGTTTATTTTTGTCGTTAATATTCTTCTTTCTTTTCTTCTTTATTTTCAATTGTTTTTTTTTTCCGAACATTTCTTTCTTTCTTTCTTTCTTTTTCATATTATATTTAAATTGTTTGTTTTTCTTTCTTTTCCCTCTTTTCAATTGCGTTTTCCCAACTTTCCTTTCTTTTTTCTTCTTTTCTTTCTTTTTCATATAATTTTTTAAATTGTTAGTTTTTCTTTCTTTTTTGCCAGTTTCAATGTTTTTTTTCCTCAACATTTCTTTCTTTCTTATATTAATTGTTTTCAAGTATTTCTTTCTTTCTTTTTCTTCATAAATATTTTCAATTTTAGTTGTTCGTTTTTACTTCCATTTTTTTCTTTTTTTCGTTTATTTCTTTTTTCTTTCCAAAAATAATTGTTTTCATTTTTTTTCTTTTTCACAACAATTTTCATATTTATTTATTCTTCGTTTAAAAATTCTCAACAGAATGCAGAAAGCATTGGACGGCCGTTTCGTCCTATATTTGGAACTCGTCCGCAGTGCGCATCCACAACCTGAACTTTTACTATACAATATATATATATAATATATATATATATATATATATAAAAGTGAACATAGAAGTCAACACTTAGAGGCGACACTCTGTTTCATGCTATATGCAATCGTCAGGCCTGACTTTTATATTTACACACGCTCTATCTCTGATATCGAGCACTTTATCCCATAAATATAGCACACCTTAAGACTATATTTTTCATATATATATATATATATATATATATATATATATATATATATGTGTGTGTGTGTGTGTGTGTGTGTGTGTGTGTGTGTGTGTGTGTATGTGTGTGTGTGTAATTTTCATTGTGAATATATATATATATATATATATATATATATATATATATATATATATATATATATATATATATATATATATATATATATATATATATATATATATATATATATATATAGGGATAGAATTATATATATATATATATATATATATATATATATATATATAGGGATAAATTAACATATATATATATATATATTTATATATATATATATATATATAGGAATAGAATTAACATATATAGTTAAATGTTGATTAGTTTGTGACCGTCAGTTTCACTATCTTGTGGTCCTCAGATAATAATTTGTCTGAGGATCGCACAAAAAAATAATATATATATATATATATATATATATATATATATATATATATATATATATATATATATATATATATATATATATATATTAGGTTAGTGCAAAAATAATGTCGTAAGAATATCGTTTTTTGACGTAGAAAATTACGTCAAAAACGACATTATTACGTCATTATTTTTGCACCAACGTTATATATATAAAACCATGTATATGTAAGCTTATTAAATCTGCGATATTACTGTTGTATGTTGATTCATCGTTAATTCCCAGGGATGTAATTGGCGTCCTGTACACCAGTAAATGACCCAAAGGACGTATGTGTCTGAACCAGGATTTGCTGGCGCCTTGGAAGTCGGGTTTTAACGTAATTGACCTCTATCATTTCAACCCTGTTGTTTGCTACTTAGAGTCCTATTGCCGCAGCTGTAGGTGTGTCTCTGTTGAAATTTGTGTCAGAGGTTATCAACTGTATGATCAAATTAATGATGTGCTGGCCCCAGGCCGTGTAGGTGAGAGTGTCACCGAATAAACTTGCACTTACACTGTACCTACCATCCATAATCTATACGCACATCATTCTGGTCTGCGGTTTGAATCTAATTTAAAGTTATGTTAGTAACGTGTGATAAGAATTGGAATCTAAACTTTTCATGGGAAAAATTAGATTTCATTTACTACTGGACACCTTCAGATTAAGCTTGGCCGTGTTGGTGTGTACTTCCGAGGACTTTCTTCAAATATTTCGAGAATATGTGAAAGGATTCTGCCCACACTTTCGTTAGCCTGTCTTTTATATAATTTCCTCTCATCCAGTTGAGTGTGTATGTTAGTGTTACTCAACCTGAGCCATATCGTCCATTTGTACCGTTGGGTGGGCGATTTGAACTGCTGGGTGGGCGATGTGCAAATGAACAGAAAATAATGGACGGTTGGAAATTTTGGTGAGCGATATAGAATTTTGAGTTTTAAAAAGGTATTACAAAATATGTTATCTAAAATAATGTTCAAAGCAGATATGCAAATAAACTATATAAATAAAGTAGGAACCTAAATGAGAATAACTTGGTCATTATTCCGAGATAACATATATATATATATCCTCGCAAACAAGGAATATTTTGGTATATTCTATATAGTTGTAAATGGTTATGTTTTCCTTCGTCTATTCTTTAATACGGTAGTAGCAGCAGCAGCCACCGCATAAGTCATCGTTATTTGTTACCTCCTTTTGATATTATTGACTTGATCATAATCTCAGTTTACGAGCCAGTAACAAACTTTTACCAAATTATTTTAGTATTGTTTTTAATATTCACTATACAAGTAGGCGGGGGAATTTTTTTTATTAACGTCTGGTGCATGTTCTTCTGTCCTTCCTAGTTATGTTCCGCCAGATACAACATCCTTAGAGGTCCGATTCTGCACCTGGTCGCTATGGAGACACATTCGTTTGATATTCTAAAGAGACAGCAGAAAGGTGATGTTAGTATCACTTACATATAGGAGGACCAAAGATCATCTCCTTTTATAGGAAATGATCCTGATGGACATTAATTTTGGCATTTCTAAACGTGTATCGCATAGTACACCAGTTCTAATTTACCAGTTTTCACATTTATCTTTTGCATTAATCACTAGCTAACATACATAATAACTAATAAGTCTCTGCATCCTGGGTAAGACGATAAACTACATCCGTGTCCTGGGTATGACGATAATCTACATCCGCATCCTGGGTAAGACGATGAACTACATCCGCGTCCTGGGTATGACGATGAACTACATCCGCGTTCTGTGTATGACGTCCAATAAAGTCTCTGATCCGCGTCCTTGCAAAAATTATGTTGAACTGTACGTTTTTGATAAAGTCTCTGATACCGGCTATATGTTTTTTTTGCAAAATTTTTTTGAAAGCTGTTACCGGATATAATTTTTGATAAAATAATATTACCGGCTATATGATTTTTTTTTCTTTTGAAAGAATAGTGTTGCCGGATATAATTTTTTGAAAAAATAATATTACCAACTATACGCTTTTGAAAAAATAATATTACCAGCTATACGTTTTTGAAAAAAATAATATTTCTATCTATACGTTTTTGAAAAAATAATATTATCAGCAATACGTTTTTGAAAAATAATATTATCAGCTATACATTTTTGAGGAAAAATATTAACAGAAATAGATTTTTGACAAAACTAAAATATTACCAGGAAAAAAAAACTTATATGCATTAAATGACCCATTGAGGTTGATATGCCGTAAAAAAAAAAACAAACCAAACAAACCTAACAAGTCTCTTTTGCATAATCACTTGGTAACATTCGACAACCAAACCTTTAAACAATGACTATTCAGAGATTTCTTTCAATTTAAATGAATAAAAATGGTTCTGAAATCAAAGTAGTCTTTTTAGACGGACTGCCAAGGGCGGAGAGTGAAATTCACTCGGCTGTTGAATCCATACATTTCTACCGAATTCAAATCCAAATTAGTATTTTTCTACGCGTTGTTATGCCGAAGGTGAACACTTAGCCAAATGGTTAGCGTGTAAGCCATTTAAACACGATTTCTTGGTTTCGAATCTCATTGCGAAATTAGTTTCTTCATAATGTCAGCATCGGTGGGAAGTGACCGAAGATCATATCACGGGCTGATTCAAGCTTCGTACGTGAAATTAAGCAGATGATACCGCTATCGGCGGTTGTCTTAATTAGCAAATGGTAGCTTTTCGTCAGTGGTTATCAATCAGTTTTTTTAAAGATGGGCACTCGATGCAAACACCCAGACGAGCACTCCCCATCCCCAGATGATTGACCACTCTTAGACCTATTATTCTCATGTCATATGAATTAGGCAATGGACTACATGCTAAGTAAGCGACTTAAATTATTAAATACAGGGCCCTCTCACTGTAGTATAATAGTTAGTAGACTTGACTGTGGTCAAGATGAGGCTCTCGATCTAAATACTTAATTTCGATATTTACAATAGTTTTGCTATTGAAATAGCTTATGACTTGAACTTTTCTTTTATCACATCTAAAAGCAAAAAGAGAGATAAAAAAAAATAAACAATAATTACTAACATACTGAGTGTAACAGCAAAATTGTCCAAATCGTGTAACAGCAAAATTGTTCAATTGTTAGATGAAGCTGTGAACCGTTGTATTTTAGAAATGATTAAAGATATCTTACTGGAATTCTCCCAGATTTTTATAACACGATTGATCTTTACTTTAAGCAACAAGAATATATAATTATTCTCCAAGCTTAACAGAAGAATCGTGATGAAATCGATCATAAACGAAAATGACATGTTCGTAATTAATTAATCCTAGCTAAGTATCGGAAGCTCATGAATTATTGAAATAAAGTTCATATATATATATATATATATATATATATATATATATATATATATATATATTATCCCAGGATCATTTTCCAATTAATTCAAGATGTTCTTCGCCCTCTCTAACTTTCAACTGGAGCAACAAGTTACCTCACACGTTTCACGTACGATTTCATTTTCAAGTCTTTTTCACTGGTCTTTTAGCAGTCATAGCTGAAATTCTATTATCAAGTGCCAAACGTCTCATGGAATGAGTCGGATCTTTTTTTCTGATTGATCTCTTTAGTTTCAAGTTGAAATGATGATCCCTCTTCCTGCTGATCCAGTTTTTCTCTCTACTGCCCCCTCTTTTTTTAAACGTATTCCCCGTTCTCGTGATTGTTCTTGAATGGACGTTGAAGATGGAAGCCAGGTTATGAATATTGGTACCATTATTGAAGGCTTGAATGATTTTTTCTCTCGTTATTGCTCATCTGGGAAGACAGTGATTCTGATACAAAACGATTTTAACCTGTTCTCTATCGAGCTGAATAACTCAAAGGCTTTTTTTAATGATTCTTATGACAAGATGGCTAAAAGACTTCTCTGAATACCTGGGAAAGAGAAATACAATTAGTTTTTTTTTCTTAGATATTAAACAGTTTGTAGGATAGACAATTACGTTGTTACAAGATTTGGAGAATTTTGC